AAAATAGTTGGCGTTTAAATTGAGATATAAATAAAGTCTATTCAAAAACCATTAATTGTGTTCAGAAATTTATTTTAACACAACTTTATTGACTGATATTTTAAATAAACCCTAACTTTCGTTACCAGAACTCGATGTCTATATTAGCAGAGTCCGGATTTTGACGGCATAATGTGTGCTATCATCACTCATAAAAATGAATAAAAAATCACACATTGATTATCATAGATATATGTTTTAATGATAATTAAAATACAATAAATACAATACAAAGTAATTATTAGTTAAACATTAATTTTTAAATATCTTGATTATATTTAACAACTAAATATTTGTCGATGTTCTCTGCTTTTAAATTCAATCTAGTGTGAGTTAACATATGATTTAAATGTGAAAATGACCTTTCCACATCAACTGTTGTTAGTGGTGCAAACTTTTGATTTGGCGGACAATATTCTCTATAAAAGTTTATATGTGGGTTATTTGATAGAGAAAAATTCAATTTTTCCAATGCATAACCGTTTATTTTATTTTCAACATTTGATAATATATTAGTCTGTTGACAAACTGACAGACCCTGTGTTTGAATATCATTTAACGATTTTACTAATATATCAAATTTTGATAAACTTTTAATTTGGGCTTTCAATTCTGGATTTTTAATTTGAATTTTCAATTTTGGGAGAGTTTTATTATCTTTTGATTCTAATTGTTCAATAAATTGACAAATTATATCAAAGTGTTTTGCATAATAAGACACAGCGGCCAACCAAGCGCTATCTTAAGCTGAAACACACATATTTAATCCTCACAGTATAAATCTATACATTTTTATGTGTGATGATAACACACTTAATGCCGTCAAAATCCGGACTCTGTATATTAGACGCTAAATATAGTGCACATAATGAGTACATTTAGTAACGTTTAGTGCATTTCCAATCAAAGCTTTTGCATAAAATCATTAAAAATTCCTATTTTTAAGCGTAAAAGCGGTAAACCTTCACACGTTTTACTTGTGTTTATTAGACTTAAGTTTGGGTCAAATTATCGTTAATTTAATAGTTTATATAAAATCATAAGATATTTTTATTGCATTAAATGTGAGCACAGGTTATATAACAGTTAGTGTTAACTTTCTATAAACAAATTCTAGTATTTATTTTACTTTTATAACATAAAATTTGTGGCTCTTTTGGCATTATATAACATAATATCACTCTACGTTCGGCAACACAAACACTGCAAACTACAAGTTATTTTTAATCAATTTTATTAAACAATTTGAGTATTTAATAAATTAACTCAAAAATACAGTATATATTTATTTAAATTAATTTTTAGGAATAAATTAAGATTGTTTTTATTAATAAATGGTACAAAATAAAGTTACATTTTAATTTAGTCATAGCATAATACCGGTAAATGTAAATACCATATAAACAAAGTAAACGTTACATAATTTACACAACATTCAGACACAGATGGGATCGAGTGCTGATGAGACGGCCTGTCGTACACTTAACTCCTGCACACAATTAAACAATAAAATTATAAAAATAAATGCTTTCAAATTAGCATAACGTGTGAAACACTTACCCAACTATTAAGTAAAGTGGTTACTGAGAAACTTTGGGGCAATTTATCGACATTTAAGTCAAACTTCTTCTGTATGTCTTGAAAAAAGCCGGAAGCGCTTAGTCTTCTTTACATTCCCTTTCAAAATAAATGACAACTCATTTAAAATATTGCTTTTTATTTATTTTTCTCTGACCATGTTTTGCAATGTTTGACACGATTTAACAATAAGAGTATGACATTTGTTATCATTATATGTACAAAACAAATATAAATATACTGTAAAGCAAAGCTTTTCTTTGTTTGCCACTCATATAATACATTCTTAAGAATATAGTCTAGAATTAAGCCATCAAATGATAATTCAATTACTTTAATAGTGTTTTGGTCTTTTGATTATTATATACATTTTATATAAAATTTAAAGTTATTTCACACAATTTACAATTGATATATTAGTTTATGTTTATGTTTTTATGATTTGGTATATTTTACATAAAACAATATAACTTATATATTGTTCTTATTATTATTTAATGTAATCCTATTTTGTGCATAAGTCTATGTTAAGTCTCAAATGCCTGTTTTGAAATTCTTACTAGTTAGTATAATTTTATAAGAACACAAATACAGTGCAACTTCTCCATAAAGGAACGGTCAGTTCCAAAAATGTTCCCTATAGAGAGGGTTCCTCCAAGGGAGGTTCTGTTATAGGTATAAAAACTTCAAAATATATTTCAAATCCGTTCCTTTAAGGGAGGTGTTCCCCCAAGAGAGGTTGCACTGTATTGTGAATTATTTAAAATTAATTTATTAATCTATATTATATTTATTTAATTTAAAATGAATTTTTACCACGCACGATTATAAGTTTAATCTTAAGTGTGTTTAATCACATAAATTTAAATTCATTGTTAAATATTACTTTTACAAAATTATACCAGCATACGATTTACAAGATACTCAAATTTAATAGTTCTGTTGTTTAATACATTTAATTTAGTATTAATGGTCTATATTAATTATTTTTTAAGTAGAAATTTTTAATTTAAATTTGATAACAAAATTTGCAAATAATTGGTAAATATTTCTGTCAAGAATGGAAAAGTTTATATTTTGATGAACTAATACAAAAGGATTGAATAAACCGTATTTTATTTTTGATGAAATGAAATCTGTTTTTAAAAAACTAAAATCTGAAAAATAAATAAATGAAAGCATAGATAAAGTCAAGAATCATAGAAAGAGAAGATAAAAAGATATGTCTTATAAAAAGGCTTTTCGCACATTTGTCTGACCGCTGAAAGATTTGTCTGTTATTGAAATAACTTATATTCAATTGAAATCTCTTATATTTACACAGAATTTCAAGTGTTATTATTTTTGCTTCAAATAAAAGCCAAGTCTTTGTTTACATTTGGTTTTATATTTATTGTCGACTCGAATGACAATCCATGAAATCATTAAATCATCTCGATTTAATATTTCTCACAAAATATATAACTTCTAATTTAATTTAAACAATTATTTAATAAATAAATTGTCAAATATTTACAACATTTGATACATTTATGCAATAGTTTTATCAAATATACGGCTTTACACTAACTTAAGTCTATTGTATAGTAAAGTATATTTTCCGCAAACAATAACTAAAATACAGTATAAATTGTATTTCTTGGATATCCATAAGAATAATAAGAATTTAGAAAAAATAATCATAAATCTTATAGAAATACATTTGAAATTCTGTGGCAAATCTCAATATGGGGTCAAACGATATAAAATAGTGATAAACAGTTATGTAAATAATAAAAATAACAAAAAGTTTTATTTATTAGTTCTGTTAAGTAGTTATTGTAAAGAAAGAAATACAAGACACAGACTTCTGCAAGAATTGTTTTGCTCAAAATATACCATCAGTTATACATTCAGTTGTATATTCAATGAATTCTGTATTACACATGATATAAAAATACATTTGACAATACAAATGTACACAGTACATTTAATATATCGGTAATATGACAGTACATGAAATAATATGATGATAAATTTGTCTAATATAGGGTACGGGAACGTGACGTGCAAAACCGATTTGGGAAGGATTGTGACAATGATATACGCTTTGCTGGGAATACCGGTTATGTTCCTGTGTTTAGCAAACTTAGGGAATCTAATGGCAGAAACATTTCGATTCAGTTATAAGCGGTTGTGTTGCCTCTGCTTCTGTTGCTGTAACGGTGTGTCCACTAAACCAAACAAAACTGAGTTCAAGCCTTCAAAGGAGAGAATTGAACTCAAAACTTGTGACAAAAACTTATGTGTAGACAATGGAAAGGAAGTGAGAGTTATTTTTAATGAAAACGACGGCCAAACTGTGCAATCGGTAATAGCGTTGACGGCATCGACCCCTCCGACCGTATCTGACACTTCATCGCAACCGTCCAGTCCTTTGAGATCCTTCATTGAATACCCATTGAATAGTGACTTAAATCGACAAAACAGTGATTTAATTGTCACTCAGGAGAGCACTGTTAAGGAGGACGACCACAACGATAGGGTTCCCATATGGCTGGTCATCCTTCTGGTCATTAGTTATATAATGGCCGGCGCTTTCATGTTCTCGCTATGGGAGGAGGGGTGGGGGCCTCTGGAAGGCGCCTACTTCTGCTTCACGACACTGACCACCATTGGGTTCGGAGATCTGGTCCCGGGTTCGGCCAAGTATTCAGACAATAAAGAGGAACAAACAAAGTTCATCATATGTTGCGCTTATCTTATAGTCGGCCTCTCATTGTTGGCCATGTCTTTCAATTTGGTTCAGGAAGAGATTGTCATCAAATCCAAAGCGATCGCCACTCGTATGGGTTTTATTCCTCAAAAAAAGTCTGAATTCAATAAAACAAATTCTGTTTGAATTACGATTTACAGTATATTTACTAAGATTTTTATTTTAAAATATATTAAATTAACATTTTATTAATTTTTAATGTTTTATTTTAGCGAATCATATGTTAGTTATTGTAATACAAAAATGCATTTTTATCAATTTCTGGCCATAAATTGTATATAAATTATTGTGTGTTATTAAAATTATAAATAAAATTATTAACATTTAGTTATGAAATGAAAACTCATTTGAAAGTATGGCAGCAATCGATATTAAATCGAGACATTTATCTCATTTCCAATGATTTGCTTTCATTCTTATCGCTAATTCTTTCGTCAAAATATTGGGTTAAAAAATATTATAATTTATAAATAACTTATCGTTGATGTGATAATATATTTATACATCGATTCCTTTCATTACTCAAAAGGAAATCACAAACAGAGAGCTTTTGGTATTAAATAACTTATAATATTTCTGATAATCCTCTAAATTCTTACATCACTTCATTTATACGAAAATATATCTGACTTTTGATTTGAACCAAACATTTACAGCTCAGAAAGTAGTTTATAATATACTTTAGATTTTTTAAGTGCTTTATTCAATTGCGATGTCTTTAACCCCTAAGGGTTTTGATATTTAATGAAATATAAGTATAATTCAAACTAATGATTGATATTAAGTGATATTTAAACTTATTATAAATTCTATAAGAATTTGTTTTTAAAAATTGTGAATTTTAAGGAAAATTAAAATAAGAGATCCAGATATTAATGAACTAAATGTTTGTTTAATTATTTATCAGACAATAATCTTTATTCAAATTCAAACAAACCCTCAAAATAGACACTCAAAGACTCCGATGAGATGTGAAAAATAGTTGGCGTTTAAATTGAGATATAAATAAAGTCTATTCAAAAACCATTAATTGTGTTCAGAAATTTATTTTAACACAACTTTATTGACTGATATTTTAAATAAACCCTAACTTTCGTTACCA